CCCCCCGATCATTCATCTCCTTCCACCCGACCCTCCGATCATTCATCTCCTTCCACCCGACCCCCCGATCATTCATCTCCTTCCACCCGACCCCCCGATCATTCATCTCCTTCTCCTCCGGGATCCAAACTCCTTCTACAACCAGCCCACAGAGAACATTCTGCTCCCCATCACCACACCCACCACATACGCCAAAACCTTTACCGTGTCATCTGGAGGTGCTTTCGTCTTAGGACCAGCAAAGTGACCAACAAGAGTCCGATCAGGAGAATGCTCAGCACGGACAGCAACGAAATCACCACAACATTCGGGTTCATCTCGGCAACTAGAAGGCAGAAGGAAGATTTTACCACAAAGTCCAGAGAAGATTCTACTAAACCAGAACGCGACCTCGGATCTCCACGATCTGCTCCCTCCTCCACAGGCCAATGCAACTGGACTATCACCAGGGAATGACAGATATGGACCATCACCAGGGAATGACAGATATGGACCATCACCAGGGAATGACAGATATGGACCATCACCAGGGAATGACAGACATGGACTATCACCAGGGAATGACAGACATGGACTATCACCAGGGAATGACAGACATGGACTATCACCAGGGAATGACAGATATGGACTATCACCAGGGAATGACAGATATTGCGGCAGAATGAAGAAGAAAACATTCAATCTCAATAAAACCAATACGTCTCATATGAGCCAATCAGAGCAGGGCCACCAATGTCAGGGACCGTGCCACCATTCCGCAGCAACCCTTCATTGCCCCGCCCCCGCCCCTCCCCCTCTGCTGTATGAAACGGTTGAATAATGACATAGAAAACACAGAGAAATATAATGAATGACGTTTCTCATGGTTACCCAGTGTAGAGACGGTGATGAAGGTGGGCACGCTGGCACTGTGGTGGCTGACACTGGTGATGCTGCAATTATACGATGTGCCGGGATGTAGATTGGATATTGTCACCACATGAGAGACAACGATCACCGCATCCTGCCAAGACAACAGAGAGAGAAGGACGCTCATACCATGTGACGGGGACACTTCATAGCGTGCAATACAAATGGAGGATTGTGGGCAAAATGTTCCCTCTCATAGGACCAGACACTTTACCACCACGGAATAACCCCAACCCCAAGAATACAATCATGGGATGCCCCATACCCCAAGAATACAACCATGGGATGTCCCCAACCCCAAGAATACAACCATGGAATGCCCCATACCCCAAGAATACAACCATGGGATGTCCCCAACCCCAAGAATACAACCATGGGATGTCCCCAACCCCAAGAATACAACCATGGGATGTCCCCAACCCCAAGAATACAACCATGGGATGTCCCCAACCCCAAGAATACAACCATGGGATGTCCCCAACCCCAAGAATACAACCATGGGATGTCCCCAACCCCAAGAATACAACCATGGGATGTCCCCAACCCCAAGAATACAACCATGGGATGTCCCCAACCCCAAGAATACAACCATGGGATGTCCCCAACCCCAAGAATACAACCATGGGATGTCCCCAACCCCAAGAATACAACCATGGGATGTCCCCAACCCCAAGAATACAACCATGGGATGTCCCCAACCCCAAGAATACAACCATGGGATGTCCCCAACCCCAAGAATACAACCATGGGATGTCCCCAACCCCAAGAATACAACCATGGGATGTCCCCAACCCCAAGAATACAACCATGGGATGTCCCCAACCCCAAGAATACAACCATGGGATGTCCCCAACCCCAAGAATACAACCATGGGATGTCCCCAACCCCAAGAATACAACCATGGGATGTCCCCAACCCCAAGAATACAACCATGGGATGTCCCCAACCCCAAGAATACAACCATGGGATGTCCCCAACCCCAAGAATACAACCATGGGATGTCCCCAACCCCAAGAATACAACCATGGGATGTCCCCAACCCCAAGAATACAACCATGGGATGTCCCCAACCCCAAGAATACAACCATGGGATGTCCCCAACCCCAAGAATACAACCATGGGATGTCCCCAACCCCAAGAATACAACCATGGGATGTCCCCAACCCCAAGAATACAACCATGGGATGTCCCCAACCCCAAGAATACAACCATGGGATGTCCCCAACCCCAAGAATACAACCATGGGATGTCCCCAACCCCAAGAATACAACCATGGGATGTCCCCAACCCCAAGAATACAACCATGGGATGTCCCCAACCCCAAGAATACAACCATGGGATGTCCCCAACCCCAAGAATACAACCATGGGATGTCCCCAACCCCAAGAATACAACCATGGGATGTCCCCAACCCCAAGAATACAACCATGGGATGTCCCCAACCCCAAGAATACAACCATGGGATGTCCCCAACCCCAAGAATACAACCATGGGATGTCCCCAACCCCAAGAATACAACCATGGGATGTCCCCAACCCCAAGAATACAACCATGGGATGTCCCCAACCCCAAGAATACAACCATGGGATGTCCCCAACCCCAAGAATACAACCATGGGATGTCCCCAACCCCAAGAATACAACCATGGGATGCCCCATACCCCAAGAATACAACCATGGGATGTCCCCAACCCCAAGAATACAACCATGGAATGCCCCCTACCCCGAGAATACAACCATGGGATGCCCCATACCCCAAGAATACAACCATGGAATGTCCTCAACCCCAAGAATACAACCATGGGATGCCCCATACCCCAAGAATACAACCCCAAATCCTACAGATATAGCCAGGAGATCACTCCAAATCTAACACTATAAATGTGGGATGATGCCAACCCGAGCTACAACCGTGAGATCACCCCAATTCTAGGAATATCATCGTGGGATAACCCCTAACCTTTACAATTACCCAATGACGTAATCCAACCATAGGACTACAACAACCATGAGACAGCCCTAACAATAGAACAATGGGATTGAGATAAGCTCGATGGTAACAATATTAATAGGGAATAACCAACCCAAACGTAACACCATAAATAGGCCTCAGCCTGAGCCCTCAGTATACGGGACCCCCAACCGGTGACTATTATTACTGGATGTCATAAATATTTCCATTTTCAAATTAAAAGAGCCAATCACGAGTCTTCGGGGTGTTGATCTGGGTTAAGCTTAGTAACAACTCTAGGATGAGCTTATCCCGAACTCTGCAACTCCCGACTTCACCAGCTCATCAAGCCCAATGGATCCCTTCAACAATCAGATCTACACCCGATCCACTGATATCTTATGATTGCCATGGAAACTAGACAGGAAGGGCCGACATCCCAACGGCCATAAATGTGAGAGTTGGGGTCCTCCAAGCATTCATTATGAGGCACATGGGGATGGGAGGGACCAGTACGGCCAGTTCCTATTTCCTGGTACACACAGATATGAAATCATTGCCCAATCCAATCCCTCCTGATTGGTGGGCAGTCATTTCACGTGTGTGGACTCCGAAACTCCACAGTTGTCTGATAATGAGAATCTCTGGTTCCTTGTCATTGTGTCACCTTGTCGTATTCACTGAGCACCAAGTCAGAGCAACGGCAGAACACCTCGAAATAATCCGAAAATCCTTCTTCCACCCACAGCAGAGTGAGCGACGTCTGCGTCTTATTCACCGCGAACAGAGACTTGGGAGGAGCCGGATCTGTGCAAATAAAACGTTACTCTGAGAACAAAATCTATCAAACAAAGAACATCAAAAGACGTCATAAACCAGTTCACAGGTCGTCCTCATCACCATCATCATCACCATCATCACCACCATCATCACCATCATCATCACCATCATCATCACCATCATCACCACCATCATCACCATCATCACCACCATCATCACCATCACTATCATCACCACCATCATCACCACCATCCTCATCATCATCACCATCATCACCACTATCATCACCATCACTATCATCACCACCATCATCACCATCACTATCATCACCATCATCATCATCATCACCAACATCATCACCATCACTATCACCACCATCATCACCATCATCACCATCATCACCATCACTATCATCACCATCACTATCATCACCACCATCATCATCATCACCATCATCACCATCACTATCATCACCATCATCATCATCATCATCACCACCACCATCACCACCACCACCATCACCACCACCATCATCATCATCATCACCACCATCATCATCACCATCACCACCACCATCATCATCACCATCACTATCATCACCACCATCACCATCATCACCACCATCATCACCACCATCATCATCACCATCATCATCATCATCATCATCACCATCATCATCACTATCACTATCATCACCATCACCATCACCATCATCACCACCATCATCATCACCATCACCATCATCATCACCACCACCATCATCATCACCACCACCATCATCACCATCACTATCATCACCACCATCATCATCACCACCATCATTATCACCATCATCATCATCATCACCATCATCACCATCACTATCATCACCATCATCACCACCATCATCATCACCATCACCACCATCATCATCATCACCACCACCATCATCATCATCATCACCACCACCATCATCATCACCATCATCACCATCATCATCATCATCACCATCATCACCACTATCATCACCATCACTATCATCACCACCATCATCACCATCACTATCATCACCATCATCATCATCATCACCAACATCATCACCATCACTATCACCACCATCATCACCATCATCACCATCATCACCATCACTATCATCACCATCACTATCATCACCACCATCATCATCATCACCATCATCACCATCACTATCATCACCACCATCATCATCATCACCATCATCACCATCACTATCATCACCATCATCATCATCATCATCACCACCACCATCACCACCACCACCATCACCACCACCATCATCATCATCATCACCACCATCATCATCACCATCACCACCACCATCATCATCACCATCACTATCATCACCACCATCACCATCATCACCACCATCATCACCACCATCATCATCACCATCATCATCATCATCATCATCACCATCATCATCACCATCACTATCATCACCACCATCATCACCACTATCATCATCACCATCACTATTATCACCATCATCATCATCATCATCACCACTATCATCACCATCACTATCATCACCACCATCATCACCACCATCATCACCACCATCATCATCGCCATCATCATCATCATCATCACCACCATCATCACCATCACTATCATCACCATCATCATCATCATCATCACCACCACCATCACCACCACCACCATCACCACCACCATCATCATCATCATCACCACCATCATCATCACCACCATCATCACCATCACTATCATCACCACCATCATCACCATCACTATCATCATCACTATCATCACCACCATCATCACCATCACTATCAGTGTGTGTGTTCCTACCGAGTTTCACCAGATATGGCAGAGATGAGTTGCTGCTCCTCTCGGTGAAGGCGGTGACGGTGATATTGTAGACGTCTCCGGCGGGTAAAGCCATCATAGCTGTCATCATATTCCGGGAAACCTGACAAGACCAATCAATGATTGCTCCATATTAGATTGTCAGCTCTGCAGAACAGAAAACTTTCCATGTTTTTACTTCAGTGCAAAGTGTGCTCGCCTGTAGCAACCAGGTTCTAAGTTGGTGAGGTCACATGACCGAGAGATGGATTGTGATTGGTCATGAGGCTGCAGGAGGACATGAAGGACCCCTCCAGGGACTCTGGATACCGCATGCTGTATTCTATCCATAGAAAGGGGGGCGGGGCCTGGAGGACCATCCAAGGACTCCGCAATAAACTTACACTCTTCTTTATCCTTTTCTTCCCTTCTGCCGTCACCTGCCAGTGCAACATTCTGGAATGTGAAAGATCCAAAGTTTTATCTCCGTACCGCCAGGTGATATACAGCAGATTCTTCACATAGTCCACCTGGGTGATGCGGGGGGCCACAGGAGCTGCCGGATAACCAGAGAAAAGATGATAATCACAATCATCACCACCATCACTATCATCATCACCATCACTATCATCACCACCATCACCACCATCATCACCATCATCATCATCACCACCATCACCACCATCCCTATCATCACCATCATCATCATCACCATCACTATCATCACCACCATCATCACCATCACTATCATCACCATCACTATCATCATCACCATCACTATCATCACCACCATCATCACCACCATCATCATCATCATCACCACCACCATCATCATCATCACCATCATCATCATCATCACCACCATCATCACCATCACTATCATCACCACCATCATCACCATCATCACCACCATCATCATCATCACCATCATCACCATCACTATCATCACCACCATCATCACCACCATCATCATCATCATCACCATCATCACCACCATCATCACCATCACCATCATCACCATCACTATCATCACCACCATCATCACCACCATCATCATCATCATCACCATCATCACCACTATCATCACCATCACTATCATCACCACCATCATCACCATCACTATCATCACCATCATCATCATCATCACCAACATCATCACCATCACTATCACCACCATCATCACCATCATCACCATCATCACCATCACTATCATCACCATCACTATCATCACCACCATCATCATCATCACCATCATCACCATCACTATCATCACCACCATCATCATCATCACCATCATCACCATCACTATCATCACCATCATCATCATCATCATCACCACCACCATCACCACCACCACCATCACCACCACCATCATCATCATCATCACCACCATCATCATCACCATCACCACCACCATCATCATCACCATCACTATCATCACCACCATCACCATCATCACCACCATCATCACCACCATCATCATCACCATCATCATCATCATCATCATCACCATCATCATCACTATCACTATCATCACCATCACCATCACCATCATCACCACCATCATCATCACCATCACCATCATCATCACCACCACCATCATCATCACCACCACCATCATCACCATCACTATCATCACCACCATCATCATCACCACCATCATCATCACCATCATCATCATCATCACCATCATCACCATCACTATCATCACCATCATCACCACCATCATCATCACCATCACCACCATCATCAACATCACCACCACCATCATCATCATCATCACCACCACCATCATCACCATCACTATCATCACCACCATCATCATCATCATCACCACCATCATCATCACCACCATCATCACCATCACTATCATCACCACCATCATCACCATCACTATCAGTGTGTGTGTTCCTACCGAGTTTCACCAGATATGGCAGAGATGAGTTGCTGCTCCTCTCGGTGAAGGCGGTGACGGTGATATTGTAGACGTCTCCGGCGGGTAAAGCCATCATAGCTGTCATCATATTCCGGGAAACCTGACAAGACCAATCAATGATTGCTCCATATTAGATTGTCAGCTCTGCAGAACAGAAAACTTTCCATGTTTTTACTTCAGTGCAAAGTGTGCTCGCCTGTAGCAACCAGGTTCTAAGTTGGTGAGGTCACATGACCGAGAGATGGATTGTGATTGGTCATGAGGCTGCAGGAGGACATGAAGGACCCCTCCAGGGACTCTGGATACCGCATGCTGTATTCTATCCATAGAAAGGGGGGCGGGGCCTGGAGGACCATCCAAGGACTCCGCAATAAACTTACACTCTTCTTTATCCTTTTCTTCCCTTCTGCCGTCACCTGCCAGTGCAACATTCTGGAATGTGAAAGATCCAAAGTTTTATCTCCGTACCGCCAGGTGATATACAGCAGATTCTTCACATAGTCCACCTGGGTGATGCGGGGGGCCACAGGAGCTGCCGGATAACCAGAGAAAAGATGATTAGACATCAATAGGAAGAGGATCGTCCTCAAGATCCACCCCTCAGACCCCCCAGATCAGGGGTAGCAAACCTCCGGACCTCCGGCTGTGTGGGTGGAACTACAAATCCCATGAGACATTGCAGGATTCTCACAGCCACAGACATGACTCCCGAGGAGAGATGCATCATGGGATTTGTAGTTTCACCCCCACAGCTGGAGGGCCGGAGGTCGGCTACCCCTGCCCCAGATAGACCTTCATAAGCCTTCTTCACCTTCCACATTCTGTTCTCTGTGCTGAGATCTCCTGGATGCCCCATGTCGGAGCCGTTCTGTTCCCTAACCCTATACTAACACCATGGATTGGGGAATCCCCCCTCCCCCCTCCGGTCCATTGTACCCTGACAGCAGGGGGTCCCTTTCAGAATAAAGCAGCAGTGAGTGCAGATGATGAAATGAGGGGTCCCGAGGGGGCCACATACGGGACACATTGCATTGGAGTCAGACAAAATTCAACCAACGTCTGGACAGCTTTAGAATTCCCGCTGTGGAAGACGTGTCCCTACGCTCTCAGCCAATACCAGGACTTGGGGAAGGAGATTCCACATTGTTACTCCTCTCACAGTAGAGAATCCTCTCTCAGTGTATTGCAGTCTATATGATCACTTCTAATATAATATTCATTGTGATTATACCCCCTCCCCCCCCGGCCTCCAGAGTACATACATGTCATCTCCGGAATTGTTCCTCATAGCTGGGGTCCTCCAACCTCCTCCATCATTTTGTTGCTCTTCATCCTTCCTGAGGATCGGTGACTAAAACTGAGCCGAATATTTGGGACGAGGTCACACCGACGTGTTATATAAAGGGGAAGAATTCTGGAGTATCATCTTATTGCTGAGTTTGGGATCTACAAGAATCCTCAAATTTTCTAGCGGAGTGAATCCTAATAAGTCGGTTGAATTAATTTTTTCAGCACTGTAGGTCATGACCTCATCTGCCCCTCCCCCTCCCCCATTTTATGTGGGTCTTCCTGTAACAATGACGCTTCTTGCACTGAATTTATTTCCCTTCATTATTTGGTCTTCCTCTAAGTTCCTCTCCCTCCCCCATAGAGCCATGACAGGATGGTCAGCCCTACCAATGATCCTTCCTAAATCCAGCTGATTGTTACTTCTGATCCCATCGTCACAGGCATATAGTCCCTTATCCTTCTCTATAATGCTCCCATGCTCGACTGTCTGGTCTGTAGTCACCCGATAGAAATCCTGACCTCTGTCTGAATACTAGAGTCGGCGTATAACGGAGCTAAGCTCTCTGAGGACTCGTGGGTGTAAAATGTCTGATTCTGGAGACTTATTCACATGAAGTTGTTTCGTCTGTTTTGTATCCGGATTTGTGTCAGCCGCAGAGATTCCTTCCGTGCGTTATAATCATCGGAGAGAGAAACAGATTTCATGCATCGGCCTTCTCCGCGACATTCGTTTGCAACTCCGCCCAAAACATGTGGCCCCGCGGGTTCTGTGCGCACTCCTTACCAGAAATAACAATTGTTTGTTTGAGTTTTCATATTCTTTTCTTGCTGCCCAGAATGTTCTCTCTCTCCCTTCTTCCTACCTCTCCCTTCTTCCATCCTCTCCCTTCTTCCTACCTCTCCCTTCTTCCTACCTCTCCCTTCTTCCATCCTCTCTCCCTTCTTCCTCCCTCTCTCCCTTCTTCCTCCCTCTCCCTTCTTCCTACCTCTCTCCCTTCTTCCTACCTCTCTCCCTTCTTTCTACCTCTCTCCCTTCTTCCTACCTCTCTCCCTTCTTCCTACCTCTCTCTTCTTCCTACCACCCCCCTCCCTTCTTCCACCCCCTCTCCCTTCTTCCCTTCTCCCTCCCTTCCTCCATCCTCTCTCCCTTCTTCCATCCTCTCTCCCTTCTTCCATCCTCTCTCCCTTCTTCCATCCTCTCTCCCTTCTTCCATCCTCTCTCCCTTCTTCCATCCTCTCTCCCTTCTTCCATCCTCTCTCCCTTCTTCCTCTTGGTTTCCATGATGGTGGAATTGGCGTTGTGTGTTTTTGAACACATGACCAGATCAGCGTCAGTGCGGCCTCATTCATGTCCTCAGTGTCTCCTCTTGTGGTTGGAGGTCATTTTGCAGTCTTGCTCTTCTTAGTGTCACGGAATGTTCCTCACGTGTATCGTTACCTCCTGCGTGACGTGTTAGCGGGAGCAGAAGATTCACACAGAGAATTGTCTTCCAGCGACTTGTCAGCTTTGGGTGGAGAACGTGATGAAGAGCCAGCTGGAGACAACTCCTTCTCTTCATCACCAGCCATGGGAAGGACTCCGCTCTCCAATGTCCTCTCGGCTTCTTTCCCATCACTGCCGCGGCCCATATGGCAACGAAAGGTTTTCAATCATTCTACAGCAGTGTAATGGTCCCGGGATCGTTTCCATGAGCCGGCTGCGTTCCAGAGTGGAACGCATCGGCCGTGGACGTAACAGGGCGCCTCCTCCCCCTGGGCGCGTACTGCTATGCGTTCCGGGGTGGAACGCGGAAGTGACGTCACGCCGCGAGGCTCCAGTATATAAGAGGCCTCTGAACCCATGGATGGCGTTCCACTATTGGGTTCATGGCCCAACACCGCAGGAGCTACTCAGCATCAACCAGCCTATTACCCGGACCTCTCACCACCAACCTTTGGAGGCATTCCCAGGAGTCCTAAGGATCAGCAGAACCAAGGGGTTTAACTAGGGTTGCCACCTGTTCTTCAAGTGAAACCCGAACACTCCAGCGACGCACGGACATTTTTGGGGGAGAATGAGTCGCGGCTTGTTCATATGTACATAGCGCCGCCCATTCATATGTAAAAATCTCAGTAGAGACTATTTTTAGTGGGGGGGCCAGTAGCCCCTATCTTAATTTTGGTTGCCCCCGTCTGCCTGACATCTTGTGTCCGGGTTTCTGCTGCCATGAAACCCGAACACAGCATTCAAAACCCGGACTGTCCGGGTGAATCCTGGACGGGTGGCAACCCTAGGTTTAACTCCCCTCAACCGCAAGTACTTGCATTAGCTTTACTGGTGACTCTGTTTGGAGTCATTACACTGCCACCTGGTGGATCCTTTGCATATCTTCTCCATATTTTGCCTATGCTCTATCACTATCAGTGCATAACTGGATTGCTATTGCTGAGTTTGTTCTCTTTATCTAAAGGCTGTTTAGTTAACAAGCGCTCTCTCATTTGCATAACCACTCCTGTGATGATATTAGGAATATGGAGCAATGTTCCTCATACATAGTGTACCTTAGCCTCTTGTTATTTTTTCTGCGGTAAATGATTTCTAAATCCCAAACTCTCCGTTTGTGATTGAGAGTGCCGCCTGGGATTTTAGCCTGACACGGCACTTTCAAACCCTACTGGTTAGAACTGCAGCTGAGATCCACCGCACCTCCGTGAAGTACGGTACATGACAAGCAGCAGCAAAAAAGAAGATCTCAGCTCCCGAATATCTCCGATAGTGAAAGTCTGATAGAGTGATGAAACCTTTCCTGTAGCGGGTTCCTCAGGTCTGGGAACTGGATCATCGCTACTTTCATTCCAGGACCGGAGATCACATCGGAGACCTCTTCAGACAAAACTCTTCTGTATCCTCTCTCAGGATCACGTGACACTCAGACCTTTCATGGAGTTTGAGGACGGTTGTCCCGAAGCTCCATCCCGCCATGGAATGGTTATTAGCAATCTTGGCCCAGTCTTCACTTCACGGACAATCAGCCTCTTCACACTCTCTGGTGGACTTTGTATCCTTCCAGGGGACTGCCAGACAGCATAAGCCTAAAACAATCCAACCTGTTCCCAGGTTTATTAGGTTCTCCGCCCTTCCAATGAATGTCGCCAGCGAGAGACCCGCCAGAGGTCATTACGGAGCAGAACGTTGGTCTCAGTAATCATACGGAGCGTCTGGTCTGGACCTCTTATTTGGCAGCGATATCTTGTGATTTCCATTCTTCTTCCCTCACTTCTTTATTCCTTCTAGCTACTTAATTCCCATGTGTGCTAACATGGGGCAGCACGTAGAAACAGAAAATTGGTAGTTACCCTAATTTTACCATCCTGGCCCCTCACCCTATGAGCACAGCGTCTCCCCCACCTATATGTCTGATCATGGCCAGGTAACATGGATCGGATTGTGCGCAGCGAGGAGAGCTTGGAGAGACTATACAAGGTGCCATCTTGGGAGACTCGGAGGTGGATCATTGGTACCAGCATGGGAGATAATATAGGACAGAGTCTGGGAGATCTCAAACACTTGCCTGTTATGAAGCTTATGGTGGAAGTATCACAGCAGCTGCGTTCTGGCTCCGCCCACGTCACCATTGTCACTCGGAAGTTATAGTACCAGGCAGGAAGTAGATTGGTCAATCTCTGCAAAACATGAATATCATCTCTATATGATGAACACGTTCTTCATGTCCAGGAACACTGATGTGTCTGTTCATCTCATACATGTCTATCACGTGTCCTTCCCATGTACAGAGCTCATGAATATGGAATACACAGACTGCATGGGTTGTGCATGTGTGGAACGTCTGCGACGCGATAAGAAAGGAATACACGTTACCACTGTAGATGTCAGGGAAACAGTTGCTGCAATTTCATAATATGGAGTCCATTCCGATGTCATGGTAACGGGGCTAAAATAAAACATTTCCACCACATATTTCCGGAAGACGCTGTGATACGGGCGGCTCCAGCTCAGCACCACGGCTGACGGTCCCAGAGGGTACAGCACCAAGTCCTTGATTCCGGTTGGTTCTGTGGATTGGAAAGCAGATGAGTTCTATGATATATATTGTAGCAGAATCCAATTCTAGATACAAGTCACATTGTTGCTGATATTGTCAGAACACAGAGAGAGCCGGACTGAGGGCGGAGCCACCATGGTCCTCCCATGGCACGCCCATCTGTACAGCGTATAACGCACATTGCTGCCGATGTTCAGTA